TAAAATACGAATAATTAATTATAAAAATATTAAAAATTCTCATATCTGTTAATTATGGATATGTAACCTACGACTAAAAACGGTTAAACTTTGATAAGAGTCTGAAGCCTAGGTACTAAGAATTATTAAAACGTTCGACAGACGACGGAATAAAAGAGTTTGGTTTGTTGAACAGGTGGGAAATTTGTCGTCGCTGACCAAAAAATCGCGGGCAGAAACAAAGCTCATGCATTAGCATTCAAAACAAAGCAGAAAGTTAGCAAGAAGCTGTTTTAGCTGACGATTTTTTGCTTTCCATTCAACGACTTACAAATTAACGGTTATTCTTTTAAAAGTCGACTATGAATTCTTTGTTTTGGGATGACTTGTTTCGTAATCGAGTGATTGCAAGAAGTTAATATGGCGACGTGAACATGGGAGTAAATACCGTATACGTCGATCTGTGGCTTGTTTAAAACCGTAATAAACGAAGAAAGACGTGATATGAGAATGAAATGTAAGTTGAAATTAACTTTATATGCCTTATATTTTCCATCCTATGTTTCTTAATGTAACTTCAGCTGTCTAAGTTCAAAATACAAGCTCGCGAAATTTGACAAATTTTGAAAATATGTAAAAATAGCTTGACTTTGAACTGTATTTTCTCAAAAATAGCCCGTGGCCTCAATTTCAAATATAGCTAAATGAAAAGAAAAAACTTTTCGGCGTTTGTAGGTATCAAACATATCGTCAGGAAAATAGGGGCTCACAATGTTTTAGCTGAGTCTTTGAGACCCAGTTGCTTCGCACGTGTTGTGGTCAAATTTTTGCCAAGAATCAAAGGCCGAAATGTGAACTTCCTTCATGAAAACCGGCTCGAGAAGGGTGTAGTTTGAAAATTTAGGTATTAATTTCGATTTCGTGAGCATATTTTGGTTACACGTTAAATATTTTTTAATTTGATGAGATTCAAAATTTGTTGTATATTCAAGCCCGGCTTTAGTGTAGTTTTAGTGATGACCGGAACAGAAATAAAGATATTTTAAAAACTGGCCGTGGCCTCACGATAAAACGTTCTAAAAATGTTCTCTGTTTCATGTATTTTTATTTGATATCTTAGGTATAAGCGTAAAAATAGGGGCTCATACAGTTTACGAGGTTGTAAAATGCATGACTTGCCTGTATTTTCATGTAAACATTCGAAATTTTTCGACAGCAAAGTAGCAACTGTTTCAGATCGAATGCACACGGACAGCCCACCAGAGACAATGGCAGGGTACTGAAATAGAACGTCACTAAAAAATTCTGTATGATTAATTTAGATCATGTCCATTTTCAACATAAAACAGTCATTTATTTTGTACAAACATTTGGCAATATTTACACGATTGTGCCTTTTTGTAAACACGCGTTGCGTGTATTCCACTCAATTGCGTGACTGATTTTGCTCGCGCATGCTCAGACAAATTTCCCACCTGTTGGTTTGTTGTGCATTTGATTGGTGCAAGTTTCTTTGGGGCACGTAGATCTTAATTAGGAATTGCAGCGATCTTTACCAGACCTGATAGCGAGACTAGACTCCGGGACAACTTTATTCTTAAAGAATGCCGAGCACAGTTGTTCACGTCTTGAATGCAAAGTTGGAATGTTACAGACCACTAGTGCGTCGTAATAGCGGGATCATATAAACAGCCCCTTATTCAGCAAATTGTGCATTCTGCCATTAATCCCTTGGGGATGAGGCAGCACTTTCCTTGCGATAGTAACTTCTAGTTGTATAAAGTATATATATACTTCTGTTTTTATAGAAAACAACAGTAACATGTTGTAACATGTTTACATTATCTAGTAAAAAATGATAAATTTATAGTAACGTGGTATAATATGCAGTGCCTATTTACAGAATTATATAGTAAAAAAGTAGGTTTATAGTAACATGAGCAGTGGTAATAGCAGTGATTTGTATTCTGGTATACCGGCATGAATTTCTCGACCGGTATGGGGTGGGCGAAAAATCTCAATGATCGACAGGTAACTAATTAGAAAAGACAAAGAGAAATTCCGCTCCGCGCAAAAAATTCCGCACGCCTTTCGAACAACCAGCTCCTTTTGGAGTCTTCAACCCAAACCACGAATTTATTATACCAAAATGCATTCAATATATACATAAGTCAATATACTATCTACAGTACGAGCAATAGTGTTGGTGTCTCTGCGCAATGTCGTTGCGTACGCTTGGCTATGGAAATAATTGTTTCTATTTCCGATTCAATATTACTATTGATATTATATAATTTATATACATTAATGTGCACTTTTTGTTAAAACGACGTCAGCTCATCGAGTATCGAGGCTGAACCGCTTGAGACGTGGCTGGGAAATTATTTCGATAAGCGAAGGGTTCACTACTGTAAATGACATGATCTGGAGCATACGATCTTGCAATTGTCAGCCGTTCCGCACGTTGTAACCAATAATCTATCGTAATTGTAAACCGATTGTATTTGTATGCAATAACTTATTGGGATAGATGAACCTAGCCCTATTCTCTAACCACTAATATAATCTTAATCTATAACCCTAATCTTAATTTGACACTAATCCAAACTTGATAACCTTGTTTTAATAATCTTTTTCCAACAGATTGCACAATTCTTACCCTTCAACGCATCGTCTCATTAAATACCATGTAAAGTCCGTAATGTAAACAAACGCTTTGTTTACATTTTGAACTCAGTGCTACAGTTGTAAAATATCAGTTAGATATATATTATACTGAATTTTTAACACTCTTCTGGTTCGCTATGCTTGTAAATGAATTATTAATAACATTCCAACGGTCGGGTCCCGACCATAGATATAGGAGATCTAGATTGCTAACGCATACCTAGCGCAGGCGGGGCCTACATGATAAATCCAAGATGGCGGTACAAGAGGGCAAAAAGACTATAGATTCTATTACGAAAATCAAGATTTTTGCATTTTTTGCCGTCACATTGTTTTGAAACTTATTCGGTCAAATTTTATGGTAAAGAGAAACTTACCGCGAAGATTTTGAGCATATTTATGATTGAATTGGATGAAAACTCGCAAAATTATCCAGCGATAAAAGTTCGTGTATAGTACTGATATAGTACTATATATGTAACTTGTACAGTTTTGCTTTAATTTTTGCTCACTATTTGCATGGAAAGCAAATTATAACAGACCATAGGTGATAGACCCTTATCCAGTGCTCTCATCAGTTTACTTCTCTAACAAGCAAGGAGGGGGGGGGGGTACATAACAGTTCATTTTTCATAATTATGAGGACAGAGCAGATGATGATGAAAGATGCAAGTATAAAACACCATTCACAAGACTAAATGTTAACATAGCACAGTATTTCTGGCAATAAAACGATCCAACTGACCAACTGACCATTTCACACGAACTTTTATCGCTGGATAATTTTGCGAGTTTTCATCCAATTCAATCATATATATGCTCAAAATCTTCGCGGTAAGTTTCTCTTTACCATAAAATTTGACCGAATAAGTTTCAAAACAATGCGACGGCAAAAAATGCAAAAATCTTGATTTTCGTAATAGAATCTATAGTCTTTTTGCCCTCTTGTACCGCCATCTTGGATTTATCATGTAGGCCCCGCCTGCGCTAGGTATGCGTTAGCAATCTAGATCTCCTATATCTATGGTCCCGACCATTGGAATGTAAGCCTGCGCAGAACGTATGCGCAGAACGGACTTTACATGGTCTTTAACTTAAATTTATATTAGCTATAAATTTGCTTTTTAACTATGATGAAATTTGATCTGTCACTGGGAGAATACCTGAAATGTATTAATATAATCACTGATTGGTAGTTTGGGGCTTTCCTGCAGGCGCTATTTATTTTCGCTCATCCCATCCCC